TTTGATTGGAAATTTTTTCCCAAAATTCGTCGTCGTGGCGCAGTAAGTTGCGGGATTAGGTGTCCTGCACTGTATAACAAAACATGAATGCCTTTGAATCTCTTTGAATCCCTTTACAAAAAACATATTTGTTGAAAAATGTAATATATCTATTTATTCAAGTAATAAATGATTGTCAACTTCGTGTGATGCTTTCCTGTGTGACTGAATAAAATGGCCCACATGTTTAGATATGATTGTTGAGGATTAGTCTAAATTTAGTAATGATGATCGAAAACTAGCCTAAATTTAGCAATGATCCTAGTGCTCTGAGCATAGTAAATGTTTTAAAAAAGAATAGAACTCTACAACAAATAATTTTTTGAGAAAATCTCTATTACATTAAAATTAAAAACCTTATTCTATCAACTAATAGAGCTATTTTTTTAAAAGGTAGGACAGAAAATGACTTCTATATTTTTAAAATTTGTGCAAAATCTAGGAGGTCTTTAGACCAAGCCAATTATAAAAGTTATGGTGGAATCAAGGAAACCTCAATCTAAAGGCAGGCTGAGATAGTGCAAAGTAAGTGATGCCTATCTAATAAAGATAAAGAGTATTACAGGCAATGAATTATTGTAGGATTAAATCACAAATGATTGTTATTTGCTATGGTATAATTAAATACTCAGATGATTTATGCAATGGTTCTTAATTATTTTAAGAGGGAAATTTAAGGGATTATTTACAAAAAAAAATTTTAATAGTCAGAATTATAATCTTTAGATATTGTGTGATTTTATATATAGAAAAGATTTTAATCCATTATGATTTACATGGTGTAATGGGCAAATCTTGGAAAAGATGGGTTATTGTGCCATTATCACCCATCCCACTGCTCCTTTTTATTATTTGCAGGCAAACATTGAAAATGACAGGTGATAGGTGTGACAATATTGTATGCTAATAATGGATGCCTTCAACATTTATTATATTAAGATTGAGATTGAATATTTGATTGGATTGAGATTGGATTGAAATTGAAATTTTCAATCCGTGATTAAAAATTATTTTATCAAGATGATCGACAATTATTAATAAAAAATATTAAAAATGGAATTTTTATGTCTCTTTTCTCTTTTATTAATCATCAAAGAAATAAATTGGACCTTGAACTTACAAATACCAATGCTAATGATTTTAGTATTGGTGTCTTTGTTTTTTGGGTACTTCAATATTTTCCTTTCCTTTTTATTTATTTTGTTTGTTTATTTTTTCAATCTTACTACTGCGCAGTGTTGGCATATGACAAGGTCATATACCCTTTATGACAAATGACCAAGTCATTTAGTCATATGACATGCAGTCATCGGTCATTTGTCATTTGTTGTAAATGACCTGGTCATATGACTATTATGACCAATGGTCATATACTATGATCATCAGTCATTTGTCATTTGTCATAAATTAGCCAATCAATTAACAGAACGTTTCCCAATATAAAATACCTTTACTTTAAATATTTTTATAAAGATGTTCAATTAATGCCAAAACTTCTCATAAAAAAAACACCACTTTACCTGAAGCAAGTAAAAAAAAATTAAATACTTAACAAAGAATGCTTAATCCACATTGTTACAGAGAATTTTTTATTTTAATAAATAATCCTAATAATAAAACTAATGCAAGAGCAGTATGCAAGTATTGTAGTGAAAAAAATGGTGGTGCTCAAGCTGCAGCTTTAATACCTGGATGTTATACAACAAATAAAGCAATTCTTTGTCATTCTCATTTATCAAATTGCATTAATTTTAAAAATGCATTCAATAATGATGAAATATCTGAAATCTTATCACGCCCAGTAGCAGAAGAGAAAAGAAAATTGAAAAATAATAATAATGATGCAGGTAATGATTAATTAATATATTATTAAAATAGAAGAAGGCATAATAATATGATTTAATGATAATATAATATTTATTTTTAATAAATGTTAATATAATTTTAATAAATGATAATATAATTTTAATAAATGATAATATAATATTTATTTTTAATAAATGATAATTAATATAATTTTAATAAATGATAATATAATTTCAATAAATAATAAAGTTGAACAGAACAAACCTAAACGTCAAAAAAATATTACAAATGATACTTCAACAGCATCATCAATTATTCAAAAACAACCATTGATTTCTGGTTACCTTCGAAGACCAATGTCTCAGAAAGATATCCCTTATTTAGAAAACTTGATTCTTAGGATGTGTGTGTCCAATGGTTTACCTTTTTCATTTATAGAAAATGAGGATACCAAAGCATTTTTTAATTTTTTGGCACCTGGCATTGAACTTCCAACACGTAAAAAACTTGGTGAACAAATTTTGCTAAACACATCTAAAAATCTACAAGAATCAATCATTAAAATTGCTCAATCAGATGAAAATGGAGTAACTGTTGCTGTTGATGGTTGGTCAAATGTAAAACAAGAGAAGCTATGGGGAGTAGTACTGGTTACATCAAATGGGAAACCATTAATCTGGGGTGCTCAAGAAACTACTTCTGAAAGATCACAAACACAAGATGTCATACATCATTTTGAAAACTTGATGAATGAACTTAATGATAAAAACATAAATGTTACAGCATTTATATCTGATTCTGCTGGGGAGTATGTTGCAGCCAGGTGTGTGATTAAAATAACTATTGATTCAAATTTTACATATATTACATTAATTTTTACAATTTAAATTTAAATTAGAAAAATTTTACGAAGAAAATATCCTGATAAAATATTTCTTCCTTGCATGGCTCACCAGATGAATTTGGTATTTGCTGAAATATTTAAAGAAAGTCCTATTTTTGAAAGAATATCTGAAGAGGCAGTTCGGATTGTTAGTTTTTTCCATAAATCTGGTTATTTTATGGGTAATCTTCGAGATGAGCAAATAAGGATTTATAAAAAATCAATAAAATTGGCTTTACCTAGTGACACTAGATGGAATTCATATTATTTTTGTTTTAATTCTGTATTAAAGACTCAGGCAGCATTAAAAGTAATTTTTTAATTTAATTACTATGTTTATAGTATTTTAATACTTTATATAATAAATAAACTCTCCATTTCATAGTTCCTAGCAGCAAAATTTAATCCTGATCGTGTAAATGTCACTCGTACAAATGGTATTCCTAATATTCCAGTGGACAGAAGAACAACTAGAAATAACAAACGTCGGCTACCTGATGATATTGTAGATAGTATTAACGATCCAGTATTTTGGTCAAAGCTATTTTCATTACAAAATCTATTATATCCTTTGTGTTGTTTTCTCAATCAATTACAAAAGGATGCTGCAAGACTTTATGAAGTGGTCCATTGCTTTGCATATACATTACACATTTTTTCTATGCATCATGATTTGGACTTTTCTGAAAAAATGGTTTCTAGAATTGAAAAGAGGTGGAAGGGTTGGGAGCAACCAATTTTGTTGCTTTCCATTATTCTTCATCCTTCTTATAAATTATCAAAATTTAGACCAACTATAAACAATTTATCATGGACACATGTTGGTCAGTGGTTGAAGTATTATTATCATGCCTTTTGTGGAAAACCAGCAACTAGTATTTTAGCAGAATTGATTGATTATAGAAGAGGGAATGATCCATATGATTATGATTCTTTTTTGCAATTTAAAGGAAATGTTTTGAATTTTTGGGAGTCAACAATTGGAGTTGGGCCTGAATTAGCAAAAGTGGCTATTCATATTCATGCTGTTTGTGTAAATTCAGCCTCAGTAGAACGATTATGGTCCTCAATGGGATATTTCATACTAATAGGAGAAACCGATTATCAGTATGTATTTTATTTAATGAATTTAGTATATAAAAAAGTTGTTTTAATTAAATTTTATTTTATAGCATAATAAAGTCCTGGCAATGAGTCAGATTCGTAGTGACATTTTGTACCAACGTCAAATTAAGAAAGATGATCAAACTGATATAATAAAGCAATTTCATATTCCAAAACCAACTATCCTTGATCATTTTGATGAAAATGATAATGATGATGTACAAACTATTGATGGAGAGGATTTATTTGTAAATGAAAACCATGAAACAAATGATGATGATTTTTTGGAGAATAACAATGAATCAGTGAATTCTAATTCTGATGAAAATGTGAATCAATGGAATATAATTGTTGCTCATTGGAGAGATGAAGCAAGTCAAGAAAACCAATTAGAAAATCATAGTGATGAAAGTTTACTTGAAGAAGATTTGGATAATGATTTTTTGGTGGGAGTAAATAATATTCATCCAGCAGATAATGTCAACTTAAAATGGGAATTGTCATGTATTTTTGCTGATGATTTAGAACCATTACCATATATTTTTACAAGTGATAATCAATCATAATTATTGAATTTTGAAATGATAAAATAAAAAATGATTTTGACTTTAATTCTTTTTTTTATAGGCCAAAAAATATGCAATGTCATAAGTCATATACCCTTTATGAATGACCAAATGACTTATGACAAGTCATGTAAGTCATATGTCATATGACCAGTCATTTGCCAACACTGGAGAGAACTGACTTATTGAATTTTATACCAAAACTGATCTACATAAAATATCCAATCAGATTTTTTATTTAATAATTAAAATATTTAAAACAAAATAAATTAAAATAACGTATAAAATTATTTATTATAAAAAAAACTTTCTAAGGTAGGTTGTTTTAGAGATGCATTTTGTTTTCTTCTAATTTGATGTTGTAGGTCTTTCAATCCCGATATTACTGAATTATTTACTTTTATATCAGAATTTTGTTGCAAATAGTCAAATAGATTTTGAATGCTATCTAAAGCAATTGGATATGATATTGGTGTATTCATGGTTTCTTCTTCTTCTTCTGGTGTTTCTTGTACTGCAGAAATTATCTCATCATCATCAATCATTTCGGCAATTTCTATTCTAGAGTCGATATTAATATAGTTGCTTGCTGTGATATCCTCAACATTCATTTGATTAATAAGTGTTTGAACATCATTTTCTTCATATTCTAATTCATCTGGTTCTTCAAATATTTCCATTTCCTCATTAGGTAGAATACCTGTTCTTTGCCAACAACAGTAGATTGTATCATCAGTTACATTATCCCAAGATTGTGCAGTCCAATTAATTGCATTCAAAATATTTAATTTTGGAATCTCAACACCAAATTCTTGGTGCTCATCAAATGCTTGAATCCTATCTTGGCATAGTAATTTTCTATAATGAGCCTAATACAAAGATAAGGCAAATTTTATTAATATTAAAAATAAAATTTATAAAAAAAAAGATGAATATTATAATTACTTTAAATGATCGTATTATGCCCTGATCAATTGGCTGAAGATGAGAAGTTGTGTTTGGTGGAAGAAAATGTAATTTAGTATTGCTCAACTCTTCACCTTCTTCCAATTGATGTGATGAAACATTATCTACTAATAATAAAACATTTCTTCTCCTTTTTTTCATTTCTTGATTAAATTGTCTAATCCACATTTGGAAAATAGAATGTTGCATCCATGATGAATTATTCCAATAGTACCATACAGGAAGTGATTTTTTATCAATATTATGAATACAGCGTGGATTTTTAAATTTATATATAAATACTGGAGGTAATTTATGAGTTCCGATTATATTACATGCAAGCATCACAGTAATCCTATCCTTTGATTTCTTTAATCCAGTGAGAGGTCCACTAGCAAGAGATTTATGGGGTTCTAATTTCCAATAAAGACCAGTTTCGTCTGCATTATATACATCCTCCAATTCATACTGTGCAATTATAGATTGTAGTTCAGTTCTAAATGCAGGTAATTCACTAATTGGTGCACTTGCTGCTTCTCCTGATTTATAATGTTCTTTAATATTATTTCTTTTTTTAAAATTTGAATCCACCCCTATTTAAAAATCAATGATGGATATTTAATAGATCTGATAAAATTAACACCACAATTTAAAATAAAAAAAAAAAAAGAAATTGATGCTTACTTGTGATGATTTGAAATCAGAAATATTAAGTCTTTGAGCAAATTGCACTGCCTTTTGACTCAAGATCGCACCAGTTATTGTATAGTTAGCTTCATTGGCAAGATTCACCCAAATCAACAATGCTTCCTCTAACTGTGGCCATCCACCTCCACGATCACGTTTTTTATTAGCATCTGTTGAATCTTCTTCAACTGCAAGCCATTTATCTTTGGTTCTCAAAATATCACCCACAGTTGATTTACTTATTTCAAATAATTCAGCAATTGTTTCATGTGACTTGGATGGATTATCACGTTTATATTCACATAATTCCTTTTTTTTAATAGCTGTAAGAGTTTTTAATTTCCTTCCTTTTTTACTTCCGCCTTTACTAGTAGATCCAGATGTTCCTTCAGCATTCATTTTAATTAAAATTTTATTTTCTGTTCTTTTTAAACGAAGTTAATATTTATTTATTTTTAACAATATAGTTAAATTTATAAATGACAGGTACTGAATCGGGCCATTGTTTATATTACCAAATTGGACAATGGATTGTTTATTTAATAAGTAAGTTGTAAACAATTAGGTTTGTTATTGTTTACATTTCGTTTTTGCCTGCTAAAAAATGCCAAGTCCACTTGAAATCCAGCGAAAGGCCATTAAGTCACTTTGGCAACAAAACGTGCGTAATGCAAAAGAAATTTCCGAACGATTGAATATCCCTTTACGCTCCTGTGAACGATATGTCAGTAAATTACGTAAAACTGGCAATAACTCTATAAATCACTCACCTGGTCGCCCAAGAAAGTTGTCCCCCAAGAAACGCCACCATATTGGAAAAATTTTGAAACACAACCACTTCATGACGGCAGGTGAACTTAAGGCTAAACTGGAAGAAAATGACCCTGAGCTTGAGGTCAGTGAACGTACAGTTCGTCATGAGCTAAAAAATCTCGGTTACTTTTCAATTCTTCCACGAAAAGTGCCTCTCTTGACCCAGAGAGCGAAGGACGTTCGCTTGTCTTGGGCACGTGAACATTGGCACTACAACTGGAGGAAAGTTGTTTTTTCTGATGAAACAACACTCCAGATGTTTAGCAACACAATTAATGCATGGTCTCGTAATGCACAACCTGTCGCTCCTATGGTAAAACATCCGTTCAAAGTTCACGTTTGGGCAGCGATTAGTGTCAAAGGAAAAATCGGAATTCATCTGTTCAAGAAAATTTGGATCGTCATTTGTACCAGAGAATTCTTGACAATCATTTATACGACAATGCAAACATGTTACATGGGCGTAACTGGGTCTTTCAGCAAGACAATGACCCAAAACACACCTCATGAGATGTTCGGCGTGACTTGGAAGAACGTCTTCCAAGACGGGTTCTTTCTTGGCCTTCATACAGCCCGGACCTGAATCCTATTGAGAATGTATGGGCCATTTTAAAGAGAAAAGTAGAGAGAAAGGTCAAGAATTTAGTGGCAAAAAATAAAAAAATCTCACAAGAGATTTTTCTTACCATAATCCGGCAGGAATGGGATGATCTTGACAATAATGTGTTACTTCGGTGCATTGAAAGCATGCCAAACCGAATTCAAGCATGCATCGATGCACAAGGAGGCCATACAAAATATTAATCATATAATAAAAAATGTTGTGTTAGTATCATACTTTAAATAATAAAAAAATAATATTAAATTAATAATGAAAATTTTACGTACCTTTAAAAAATGCGTCCGCCATTCTTTTCGCTGGGGACTGTATAATAATGTAAAGAGATATTATTATTGATTTTAAAATCACAATTTGTTGACACTTTTAAAAATTATCTCTTTTTTTCATGCTGTTGGCATATTATTATGTTTTTCCAATTATAATAATAATAGATTCTTTATCTAATATACCTCAAATATCATTAATAACTGTAAATGTTTTATTTACATGTAATATTAATCTAATTAGCAATATCCTTTCTTCAAACTCTATTCAAGTAAAAATTGAAATATTAAATATGTTGAATTAATAAAATTCTATTTCACCTATTAACAAGATAAAGTATTTGAAATCATTACACTTGCTGAAAATATGTATGCAAGGTAGTATATAGAATAAAAGGTGGAAAATCAGAATATATTGTTTATATATATTGTTAGCGAATTGATTTTTGCAATTTCATTTTATATGCTATGAAACACATGAATTCTTTTGATGAAGCATTGATATCTTCAGCAATCAAGTTTTGCTACATGTAAACATG